TGCTTTGAAAAAGTATTAGGCTTCTAACTGTCATTAATTGCTCAATCAAACCTTTAAATAAAAAAATACCAAGTCTATATATAAAATTGTACCTTTATGAAGTAATTACATCAATACATAAGCTCTAAATACCAAAATCACCAAAAATATGATAAAAATATTATAAAACCTTGCATATTCTTAAGGTGAATTTTTTCTAAACTTCAACAATTCATATTTTACAATTGGATCATCTAGACAAATTAAAATTTTATATGAAGTATTGATGTACTTTTAGCAACTACTACAATATATTTCAACTACAAATTCATTAAAAATCTTGAAATATTACCAAAATTCTAACAATAACTTCAAACTCTTGCTTATATACATCCATGTATAACTTTCTTCATATCTCTTAAACTAAGTACTCAAATATCATAAAACTTTGATATATATCTTCTTAATCTAATAACATATTTCAAAAAAATTTGAGCCAAAAATTCATTTGGAAACTCAAGATATGGCTCCAACCATTACTATCAAGAAAACAACTTACTTACTACCTTTGAATTATATGTGTTGTCTTCAATGCTCTATAACTTCTTCATACAAATTCCAAATGCAATAATTCTTTCACAACAAAAGTAAACCTTAAAATCATCCTTACAGCCAAACCTTTTGATCTCCAAAATCTATCATAAAATTCCTTATATTCTAAAAAGAGCAATATTATATCTTAAAAATACACCTTAACTTCAAATGGTGTCGTAATACATGAAGTCTTGCTTAAGAATGCTCTAAGCACCTGATTATAGAAGGTAGAATGGAAATTGCTACAACAAAATTTTAATTTCAATAGAACACTAATAATACTAAACAAGATTTAATCAAATTTAGAAAAACCTCAAAGGAATTAGAAAGAAATAATAAGAAATCTTAAAGAAATATTAGAATAATTACAAATATATCTCAAATACATCTCAATTCAATCATAATTTAATTCTAGTTGAAATCTTATTGGACTTCATTCAAACTTTAGGCCAAAAACTAACTAAATCTTAAATCATAAACAAACTCAAATAAAATCCTAAACCCTAAATCAAATCCTGACTAAACCCTAAATTCTAAATCAACTCTTAACCAAATCCTAATTCTAAATCAAATTCTAATCAAATCTTAAATCCTAAACCAAATCCTAAATCTTAAACCAACTCTAATTTTAAATCAAATCCTAATAAAATCCTAACCTTTAATCAAACCTTAATCAAACCCTAACTCTAAATCAAATTCTAACCAAATCCTAAATTCTAAATCAAACCTTAATCAAACCTTAAATCCTAAATCAAATCCTAACAAAATTCTAACTCTAAATCATATCCTAATCAAATCCTAAATCTTAAATCAAATTCTAACTAAATCCTAAATCCTAAATCCTAAATCAAACCTTAATCTTAAATCAAACTCTAACCAAATCCTAACCCTAAATCAAGCCCTAACCAAAACCTAAATACTAAATAAAATCCTAAATCCTAAATCAAACCCTAACCAAATCCTAACCCTAAATCAAACCCTAACCAATTTCTAATCCTAAATCAAATCCTAACCAAACTCTAAATTCCAAACCAAACCTTAGTAATTTCTACAACAGATTTAAACCTCAATAACTAATGAATGAACTGTTAATCTTAACTCAAAATTTTTACACTTCTTAAAAATTAAGTTGAAAACAAGCACAAAAAATTTGAAAATGATCGAAATTACCAAATAGACAATAACCTCAAAAATGTGCTTGGATATTGGCCAGCCTCCTTCTCTAACCTTGATGCTAATCTCCAAGAGCCAATATCTCTCTTTTTCACCATTTGATTGATCTCAAAATTCTCATACACATAGAAAAATAAGTTTAATATTTTTATACACAAATTTCACTTCAATCCAACAAGTATATTGTAAGAAATCTTAAAAATCCTCACTAGACCTAAAATTCTACTTTCTAAGACCTTAACCCACTTAAACCTCAATAATCTTCAAATCAATTGTTAGATCAAACTAAGATTCACAACACATATTAAATACAACTATGACCATTAATCCACAAAATTTCTCTAGTAGATCTGTTACAAAACTCTTGAAATTACTAGAAACGTCAATCCTATTTTATTTCACAAAATCCAAGTCATTTGAAAATAAACTTGACTTTGTAAAGCTCTTACAAAGTCACAACAAATCTAAATCACCGAAAATCAATGCTCATAGAAACTCTATCTAGTTTGCTATCAAATTCCATTCTCCGATCTGCAAAAGAACCTCCGAGTTGCCGTAGGTACTCAATTTTGTGCCTCAAGGTCTGATTTCAATCCAGGTTGATAACCGGCCCTCTTTGGATATCAATATCTAGTTTTTCTAAGTAATTTTTGCTAGAATTTACTCTTAACTTTCTCCTAAAGATACTTATATCATTTATTTTTCCAAACTATCTTATTTTGCCTTATTTATGGTCCTATAAAGTAAATAGAAGTCACTTTTTTAAAAAAGCAGTACAACTATTAAAAGTTTTACTACCTTCCTATCTTTTATCCATATTTGTCTTCTTTATCTTTTAACTTGGCTCTTCTATAATAAGATCCATATTATCACCTTTTACCATATAGTCATGTTACAACATGACAAAGGCTATAATTTCATCATTCTAACTCCAAATCTTCTAAAATTTATACACAAATTGTAGTCCAAATTTTAAACCTCACAATTCTTGCTTTTGATTCTCGAATGCCTCTTTTGAAGTTGCCAAAACTCTTGTTATGGTTGGAAACAACCTACTAAATGCCTATTGGGCATAGCCTTCAATTAATATGAATGAAGATCTTTATCTTTTACCTTCATCCATCCATATGTCACTTTCCTCCCTCCAAATAAGTTTCTTAGAGGTTTGGATCTTCATCTTTCAGTTCCAATCTTCTCCTTAAGTTTTATACTAAATATCTAAATCCTATTTAATTTAAATACTATAATTAACATAAATAAACCTCAAAATAATATTTCTTACATCAATTCTCTTAAAATTAACCTACTAATCACTTTAAAGTACATCAACACTTATAAATATATTATCTATTTTAGTTAATTTTTAAACAATTACAATACAACATGGCAAGAAATGCCATGTCTATGACAAGAAATGGTATCAAGTAAAAAAGAGTTATAAAAATTAATCAAGTTTTTTTATATTCTTTTTTGTATAAAGTAGTTTTTATTCTAATTCATTTTTTTATCACTATATTTTTACTTAAAGAGGTCTTTATAGTCAAAAATTAATTTAAAAAAATTATAGTACTAAAGTTCAACAAAGGTTCTTTTTTTGATGAAAAAACTCTCTTTTTGAAGCTTCAACTTTTAGAAATATTATAAACTAAAATAAATTTATAGAATAGAAAAAAAAAATTATTATAATTTTGGATATAAAATTTTATATTTATATCCTTAAAATTATAAATATTGATAATATTAATAAATTTTATAAAGTTTATAAGAATATTCTTAAATTATAGAAGATTATAAAATTTATTATCATGAATAACATATTTTTTTATAAAAAGAAAAGTTTTTAGAATCACAAAGGCATTGAAAAATATCAAAAATAATAAAAATGAAATAATACATGTATTTTTATAATATTTTTTTAAAATTCTAAAAAACTTAATATTTAATTTTTAATAAATTAAAAAATATACATTATATAAAAATACTATTATCTCCAAACTTGTTAATTCACTCAATCTAATTACAAATTATAGAAAATGAATCTGAATAGATAACCAGTCCAACTTGATCATATTTCAACAAACAAGAGTAAAAATAACTTGGAAAGAAAAAAAATATATATTCTTCCTACAAATTGATTGAAGGTGTTCCTTATTTAATAGAACTTTAAATTTAGAGTTATTTAAAATTCTCAAATAAGAGTTTGCAGCCATAAAAGAGAAAGTGAAATATTTTGAATCTTTAATCTCTTTGAATGTAAAGAAAGTATTTGGAATCTCAAAAGGTAAGTAGAGGACTTATTAAATGTATTGATGGATCTAAATATTGAAAGTGAATATAATAATGTACATAATTTATGCATTAAAATTATAGATAAAATTTATAAAAGTTAGATATATAAAACCTAGAAGAAGTTTAAAAAAACAATATGACAATGGTGAATTCAAAAGAAGAAAAAACTAAAGAAGAAAACTAAACTTTAATTGCTTATATACATATTAGGATTTTAAAATTTAATTGCAAGAACATTTTTGAGAAATGAAGTGATTTAAATGATATAAAAGTATCTAAAAATATTTACAGTGCAACTGCCAAATTTCATCAATGTTTTCTCATAGAATATTACTCTCTTAAAAAGTTGTAAAAAATATTATTTTAAAATTTCTTTTAATCAATTATTTATTTTCTTCTTCTTTCTAAATTCTGGTCATAAAAACAATTAATTGATATAAATTTGAAAAATTTGTATTACATTTTGATGTTGGATCATATTGTTTTTTTTTATTGTCTTCATGCTCTTGATTAGTTGCACTTGCTAATATTTGGTTTTCAACATATTTGGTCTTCTAGCAAAAATTAAGATATCTATTTAATAAAAAAACTTACAAATTTTATCCTAATTTTTACCCAAAGTGTTATTTGTATTTTTTATTTGGAAACAACTTTTAATATTTGAATGCAAAATTTAAACTGATTCAAAAGTTGTGTTATAAAATAAAACTAAATAAAAAAAATTATTAATATTTGATAAAGACACTAAAATGTTAACATAAATAAAATAATTATGTTCATGCAGAACCTCAACTGACACTCTTAGACCACCTCATTATCTTTGATTGTGTGCTGTGGTGTGGAGACTGTAGAGAATGTTTAGATCGGGATTGAGCTGGAGCCGGGGCAGGATCGAAGGCCGAGTGAGTTGGTGGGATACGGTGGCGGTTTGAAGAGCATTGATGAGTTGATGGTTTGGTGAGGATCTTAAACCGTGCTAGTCATGGCTTCTGTGGAAGCCATGACAAGATCGCAGCAGAAGTTGCTTGAAGCTGGCCGGGCGAAGTTGGCGAAGCACAAGGAGAGGAATAGTAAGAGTAAGAATAGGAATAAAAATTCATCGCCGGAGTAGAGGTCTGCTATCCTGGATGCGAAGATCAATAGTGATGGAAGCCCTAGAGTTGCAAGGTCACCACGGGCATCTTCCAACTCACATCTAGACATGATCGACAGCATCGAGCTTGGGAGAAAGGACGTGCATAGCATTGGTGCCGAGATTGATCAGCCTAAGAGAATCGAGATCGAGCTAGGTGATGGCAGGAGAAACGAGGGGTTAGTTGAGGATCAGACAGCCCCACTCTCTCTATCGAATGTCCCTAAAAGCTTCAAGAACGAAGCAGTTGATGTTCAGATGCAGGGTGAAGCCGACGAGGCGTTGAGGAAGCAGCCGGAAGCTGAAGAACAGGGAATACATTTTGGTGAGGATTTCTCAGGCCTCGAGCAGCACATTCAGGACTTAAACATAAAAAAAATTGCACTTCAGCGGGAGCTCGCAAAAGCCAGGGAAACGACACAGGAAGTTTTTGCAGAACATTCTGCAGTTGTTGAGAATTTCAATGATCAGGTATTACCAGTATCTTCGTGACATGGTATTCCCATTATGTGTTCACGAACTTGCTGCAGTTAACGAGTGCGTGCTTAGAGATGCGATTAGGTTTGAATAATCACTTTCTTCCCGATTATGTCTAGGATCTGCCTCTGCGTGTGCCACTAACAGCACCTCATCGCTTAATGCATATTTCACTTCACGCTTGTGGAATTCTCCGACGCGAATATGGAACTACTCATGAATGCTCATGTCGAACATGAGATCGAGAATTAGAGTGGATCGTATATGAAGTAAAAGAACGTGATTTTCGGATCTTTTCAGTAGATCTATGCTTAGTCACACTTGAGTGTGTGTGTATTTTTATTTATTTATTATTTTATTTTTTTTCTGAATCTTCTTTTTGAAATCGTTTTTTTAAATCTTCTTTTCATGATGTTTTACTCATTTGAGACATTTTTTCATTGTGGATGTACCAGGGGCTAGTGATGAAACAGCTGAAAGATGACATAGAAATGCTTGAGAGGATTCTGGAACGGGAAGCATTTGCAAGGGTTCTGATGTCTGAAAGAGATAGGTCTCGGCAAGATTTTGGGGCAGCTCGAGAACAGTCCCTAACCATGGCCAGTGACGTAGTTGTTTTGGAAAACCGCATACGGACATTGAGGTCTGATGAGCTGAAAATGAAGAAAGACATGATCAATTTAATTTGCGAGAAGGATTCCCTCAGAAAGCAAGCTGTTAATTTGTAACAGGATCGTGTCCACTTACAGAGCTTAATTGATACGTTGCAGGAAGAGAAGAAGGTTCTGCAGGTTCGTCTACGTCAGTTAGCTCTTGGTGAACGAGAAGTTACTAACAGAAATGAAAACTCAGAAGCAGTGCAGTTGAGACAGCGACTCTTCGCAGATGCCTCAACGTCCACTGATGATTTACCTTCTCCACTTCGAACATCCACTGAAGGTTCTTCAAATCCTTTGCCAATCCATTCCTTGACTCCTGGCACCAAGGTCGAAAACTTGTGCAGCCTCTTTCTAGTCAAAGCATTGCATATTCTTCGTACTTTAGGCCAACCAATGAGTCCTCACAATCACCTTTCAGGCAGTCTCCTCTGTCAAGTAATAGTTATGCTCATCACTTTCTCTCTGATCTTGGGCATTCATCTTTATCAAGGTCAACGAACAACCCTCAAAGTGGTGGGTATCGAAGTATTCAACTTCCAGCATCTTGTACATCTATACCAGCAGATCTGATGAAAATCATCCGTAACATCAGTGATGTCATTATTTCAATTAGTGAAGAGAGAGTCACTATTGTAAATGCATTGAAGACGGAGTCTAAAGTTGCCGCAGACTTGAGGGCTTTAAACGCTGATCTGTCTAGACAGCTGGAGTCCACCAAAGGGCAGTTAGAACGACTTGCAGCTCAAAGAATGCTTTTTAGGAGTTCCAGTAATGAGCTAACCACGGCAAGAAACGCAGCAGCCTTACACTCTTTCGATGAAGGGGATGAAGTTGTTGATCGCATGTTAATTTGGATCATGCAGCTGTTCCTTAGTAGAACTTCTTCAAGACGAAATGGAGTGAAAAAGCTGTAGCGCCGGACAGTACGTTTCTTTATCTTGTCTGGTGACACTTGGTTGCTCTTCTTGAAAGGATCAGATGATAAGGTCTTGAGAAACGAATTTGTAAAGTCGTTGCATGATCAACGATGGTAGCTACAGGTTTGCATGCATTTCTCGCAGAAAATTTAGGCACTATGGTTAGGGAGCATCTTCAGTAATTTATTCTTCTTAATTCACGCATCATAAATGAGAAAGTAAGGTTTATATTCCAACATGTATTACAAAAGCCACTAGCAGCTGGCTTCAACATATTGTATAAGACATTGTCTAGAGGATAACTCACATTCTTTTGCCTTATCTACATAGTTCTTCGTCCTAATTAAGCTTTTCTGTATCATTGTCATAAGTTTTGATGCAATAGTGCGACTCGGTGAGGGTTAAATTCCCCTTCACTTAGTTTAATATAGGCTCATTTGTGTCCAATGTTTTTGTATGGATGGATTGCTAGTACTTCCACTACTATGCAGAAGGTGGTAATTCTGATGACCAACGGAAGCTTTCATTTACTGTCTGTCTGCAAAGGCTGGCAAGGGCGTGTAGGTCACATGAGGTAATGACTTCCTCTGCTGTCAGGTACGTTTTCTTCCGCACTGCCATTGCACGAGTATCAATTAAGAACGCTACTGCTTACTGTCAAGGTGAATTTCAGATTCAGCTTCTTTTGATGTTACTATCATGATGCTGGCAGGCCCAAACTTTGGCTCCCTCGTCATTATATATTTCTATTTCGAGAAATACTTATAGTTTGTCCACAGCCATGGTAATTGTTTCCAGAACATTGAGAGGGTTGACATACATGTTTGGGATCTGAGTAGCAATGTCTAGTGAGAAAGTACTCGACATATTATAATTAGAATAGGTAGTAAGTGGAAGCAAGTGGATTTTCATGTCACAGAGAAGTTGCTTCATCATCAGGATACATTAGTATGTCTGCTTTTTAAAACCTGATAGTGGTGAGTTGTATAAGGAGATTGTGGATACTTAAGCAAACTGCAGAATATCCTCGATGGTATTGTGGGATAGAAATAGACCAACCCAGTTAGGGTAGGAGGAATAGTCAACGCAGAGGAACTTGGAGAGTGTCATTTTAGGAATCTTTTGTTGTGATTTGTGTAGAAACTTATCTTCAAGTAATTCTGAAATTAACACGAAATGCAAATGGTGTTGGGTACAGATACAGGGTATTTCTTTCAGGTGCCTTAATTTGCATCTGAGAAAATATCTTTCAATGCAGCCAACAGCTTGACTGTGCTTTTATTGGGTAGCATCTTGCACAACATTTAGTAGCTTGGCTTTCTACGTTGAAACATTTCAACAGACATTCCCAAATTTAGAATCAACAATTAAGATATCATCTTCTGTGGTCTGTATTTAAATAATGCTGTGTGTGTACCACAAAATGAATTGTTTATTCTCATCTTAACCTTCTTTGATAACCAAATACTAATGCCATTTTCAAATCTACTGAGTCTAATCATGTAAACAAAGTGTACTTGTGTGCATTATTTCCTGCATTTACTGTATCACATGCAAATGTATGTGGAAGATGTATTGTTATTTGTTCCCTATATATATATATATTTATATATATTGTTTTGGAGAAGGGTGGTGTAACAGCTTTGATGAGGACCCACATTTTGGGAAGATCCTAGTAGAAGGAATGTAGCAACAATTGTAGTAGACAGCAATCAATTATTTCCAAACACTGTACAATCATCTCTACATTGCTCATACTCTTCAATTGTATATTTTCATTGAACTATTTCTTGCAACATTGATTTCACACAATGCAATTGACTTTGTGAGGGTACGGAATAATATTGGCAAAGTGTCAATTTGGTAAGAATTTCACATGTTGCATTTAAAACCAAATTGTCACAATCTATTGAAACATTCAAATCTTTTTTAAGAAGTGTATTTTTATTGCTTATTTTCATTACACATGCATATATACATTAAAGATTTTATTTTCATTTTATAAAATTTAAAGATCATTAAATTTTTCATTGCATTCACCAAATATTTTCAATACTGGTGCAAATTTTTATTTTATATACTTTTTACATACACAGATTATTTAAAATGTATATAATATATATATATATATATATATATATATATAATTTGATAATCATAGAATTATAATGTTTTTCTTTTTCTTCAAAAGGTTTTACCTATGAGGTGTCAAAATAATACCATACATATGATATTAGATATGATTAAAAAAATATATACTAATTATACATACATTTATATATGCTTATTTATTTTATTTAAATTATTCAAAAAGAATAAATTGATATATCACAATTATTTTATATATTTTTAAAATATTAAAAATTAATTATCTAGACTTTAATTAATATTAAAAATATAGTATAATTTATAAGTTTATCTATTAAAAATAATTTCTATTAAATCAAAATTATTGAATTAAAAATAAAAGTTTAAAACTTCATTCTTTGAAATTTATAAATAATTTTATAGATATATTCTTATACATACAAAAATACTAATAGTACCATAATTTTTGCTATTGCCATCATAACTTGCTGTCCATTCAATATATATATATATATATATATATATTTATTCCAATCAAAAGATATGTTCAATTAAATGGTTTGAAAGGTATCAAACAAAGAAAATTGTATTTGTTTAAAATGTACTGAACAAAAGTTACAAATTATAAATATAGATTGTTGTGACAGTAACAAAAATTGTGGTAGCATTAGCAATGATATTGGAAAAATTATCATTTTTTATTTTTATCTATTTAGAAATTTTATGTAAAATAATATAAATGGCTTAAAAATTGTATATATATATATATATATATATATAAAGTTGTATGTTTTAAATATATTTGATTTTAAAAAATATATAATTTAATGAATAATTTATTTGTTGAAGTTTTAAACAACAATCAACCAAATTTTGGCCTCTTTTGGATTATCTTTGAAAAACATATGAGTTTAATTATGCATTTTTTCATATTTGAAAATCATACAAATATAATATTGGATATAGATACATCTACAAAATTATGATATATCAACTATATATAAGTCTATTTTTTGTACTTTAATGTGCTTTATTGATATGTTGTGAATTTGTATGCTTGAAGTTTTGTAAAATGAAATAAAATAAACGGATTTATATTTATTTTATTTCTCTAAAAAAATTTACAGATATTGAATAATACATAATCATATATTTTATTTCTTAAAACAACTCTAATAGTTATTTTCAAAATATTGCATATGTGCATATATATATATATCAAATAAAAATTAAGAAATGACAAAATACATAGGTGCCTAAATACATTATGAGCTATAAAGATATTGTATATGATACTTTCTTAAAGACTAATTTTTTATAAGATGACTCTTTTCCTTGCATCACTTTGCACCACTATAACATTTGTAAGAATATTGTCATATTTTGTCTCAATATAATCTTATAGAAAAGCTTATGTTTGTTAACCTTCTAAAAGATGTTGTGATTCAATTAAAAGATCATATGGTACATATTTAAGGAAATTTTTTCTAAAAATATGTAGCAAAAAGATTACATAAATATATATTATAACTAAGGTTTTATGCTTTGTTTTATTATATGTTTTTTCTATTTTTGATAAAAGAGAAGATGTGAATGCTATTAGATGATAATATTTTCTTATTTTTTCTTTTACAAACATAAGTATTATTAAAATATTCTATAGATTTCTATAGACATTAATTTTAAATTTAATTTGTATAAACCAAGATATAAATCTTTTAAACTATATGAATAAAGGTTTTTTCAATGATTTAAAAGTATGTTTTAAAATATTATGACCAAAAAATTAAGTGGTAATTTTAGTGAATTTGGTATCAAAAAAAATTATTATTGCAAATTTATACATGTAATAATTATAAAATTAAGTATTATCTATATATATACAGATAGATATATTATCTTGATTTCTTTAAAAGGTTGAATTTCTATTAAAATCTTGATTGTATATAAGTTTTTTTAATATATATATATATATATATATAGATCTAATTTAATCCAATATAATCTAAAACTATTCTAAATTATATTATACAAAAAAGTGTTTTATGTTGAGGCTTAATCCTTATTTTTTGGATTTATAAAATTAAATTTTAGCTTTTGATAATGTTTGTTAATGAAATAATTGAATTTAAAATTTTCTAAATAATATTTTTAATTTTTCAAAAATAAACTGTTAATAAGTGTTAAAAAATTTGGTGACCAGTAGGTAGAGTTTTCTTTAGTAAAGAAAGTATTTGTTTGTTTAACAAGCCAAAAATAATATAATATTTCTTTATATATTTTTACATAATGATTTAAAGATTTAAATTTTTTAAAATTTTTTAAAATTATATACATATATATATATATATATATATATATATATATATAAATAGTTTTATTTTTACTTATTTGTTTTAAGTCTATATAATTTTATCATTTTTTTAGCAACAGTCCTTAAAAACTTATTTACATATAGATCTTTGTTATAGACCATTATATAGATTTTGATACTAAAGATGTCATAAATGTATTTCTAAGTTTTTAATTTTTTGATTTTTTATTTCTATCAAAAAAATATTAGTTATGCTTGAACTGTATTCTTTTTTTTCGTTTTTTTTTTTTTTTTTTTTTTTTGTGTGTGTGCTTAATAATTTTATTGCATTCATAAAAATTACAATACATGTAATCATGTTTTAAAGCTTTTTTTAGTAAAATTTGAAGGTTTTAAAATTTGAGAAAAACAGAAAAAGGAAAAAGAAAGAAGAAAATAGGAACACTTGGTTCTACTACCTTAAATTATGATCTTTATGTGTTGAACTAAAACTTTTGAACCACAATATTTTTACAATCAAAAGTAAAAATTCAATTGTTAATTTTATACAATATCATTATGTTTAATGTTTCCAATGTACCAATAAGCACACATGTAAATCTCTCTCTCTCTCTCTCTCTCTATATATATATATATATATATGTATACTAGACCAAATTTGGTTTTTAGGAAATTTTTCGGTTTAAACTCGAATATTTAACCTGCTATTTATTTTATTTAAAAGAAATGATTAATATAAAAAATGAATTAAGAGGCTTGGCGTTTTTTTTCACTTTTAGACCAAATTGGAACTAGTGCAAGTTAGCACCTAAGCTTGCATGAATTCCATCTTCTTATCAAAATAATTCATCTAGTTTTTTATTCTTTTTTTTTTTTTTTTTTTTTTTTTTTTAAAAAAAACTTCAATGAGGCTTAATAGCTCATTGACATGACAACAACTACAAATAAGGATGCTCAATCCTTGAACAGGATTCCACAAGGGTCCAAGGTTCCTTTGAGGTTAAGGCCCGGTGATGGGTCGTTGTCCACCCGTTGCCGTCATTCAGGGCCTTTAGCCGCGGAGTCGCTCTTCTACACTCCATCACCACCCAGAGGCCTAAGACCAGATAGGGTGTGTTTCACCGGGGGAGCTGTTTCGGCAGTCGTCTCTGAAGTAGGGCTGCTGTGTTAAGGAGTCTGCCTCAGTTGTTGATGGGCCTGTCAGCGCACATATGAATGAAGAAGCGCAAATCATTCAGGAATGGCATTGATGATCAATTTGCCTGTAGCTGCCCCAGGCTGTCCACTTGTGTCGTTCGCCATCGCCAGGCTGAGGTGAAGCTTCTGGAGCTCGTGCCAAACCGTCCCCTCTGGCATGCATTATCTTGTCAGTGAGGCCTGCTTGTCTCAATGCTTGGCTCATGGCAATGAAAATCGACAGGGTGTTTTTGTCGGCTAAGGGATGGGAGTTGGAGAGTATAGTGTCGCTCTATCCTCGTCCACATGCTGTGGAGTTTAACCAGCTTGTGGTACGAGAGAGTAGTTCTACGAGTGGAACAGAGTGCGAAGCTTGTGGGAGAGGTTTAGGTACGGCATGACTTGCTTCGATTTTTATGTCAGAAGCTGATTCAGTCATCGGCAGGTTGAGTTTCTTGCAACGTTGTTGCACTTGTTGCTGAAGAGTTGTGTGACGTTGAGAGAGAGAGAGAGAGAGAGAGAGAGAGAGAGAGATTCAGGGAAGTGGCAGCAATGGCGGGCTGGACTGCAGCACTGCTTGGGGCGGCGGCAGCTGGAGTATATATGGTTCTGTTTCTAGGGACAACAGTTCATGCGGAGCTGCAATACGGGTATTATGATAGCTTGGGATGCGCCGGGGTGGAAGATAGAGTGCGAACTTTAGTGCAGCGCAGCTTTGTCGCTGATGCTACAGCTAGTGCTGCCATGTTGCGCCTTGCCTTCCACGACTGCCAAGTTGGACCGGTAAGTCCACATTCACAATCTTAGCACAATGGATAATGGCGGTGCAGTGGGGAGGACATTTCTGCAAAAACATAGTTCAAGCATGGTCTTCATCATTGCGCTTCAGCGATCTTCGGTGATACGCAGGCGTAGCAGATGAACTGGTTGCGAGAGAGTAAATCCCCGTCGGCATATATCTCTGAGGATGTGAGAATATGCATAGAAATATTCATGAATGATGACCTCTCGAAACGCTGTTGTCAACAATCCGTGGAAAGTTGGTTGTCGATTGCCATTGAAATGCGTGGCACCGCATAAGTCTGGAATTACATTCACGATTGGGGGAAATGGCCGATTCCAAAATAGATTGAATACTCGTCGTAAATTGATCACGTCTGGGCTGCGAAAAGATTTGAATGCCGCATCTAAGTAACAATTTGAAGTAATTTTACATGACATACTCGCAATCAAGAGGACAACTACTGCGTGGAATTAAAAGGGTACCGCTAATCAAGTGATCTCAGCTGAGATGCAGAGCTACATCTTATTACGTTGCATTCCGTATTCGCTGTGGTGTCCATGAATTTATTCACTTTGCTGAATTGGATTTCTCATTTCTGCAGGGAGGATGCGATGCCTCCATCATGATCGATGAGGATGCGGGAGAGATGGCCTCCGGAAACAATTTTGGCATTAAGCGCCTCGATATCATCAACTCAGTGAAAGCCGACATGGAGGACAATTGCCCAAATACAGTTTCTTGCGCAGACATAATTGCTATGGCAGGACGGGACGCTGTAGCCTTCAATGGTGGCCCTGACATACAAATCCCTCTCGGCAGGAAGGATGCCGATTCCTCCAACGCTGGCGAAGCAGATTCCAAACTCCCTCCTGCAACCTCTAGCATCGATAGAGTGTTCAACGTCTTTGGCCCTTTTGGCATGACTCCAGAGGAAATCGTGGCCATTCTAGGTTCGCATTCATAGCCAAATCTTGCCTCATGTATAATATCTGACGAGATTTGCAAAGGTGCAGTCCCTTCACTGGTGACATGGTTTTTAACTCGAACTCCTGCTCTGCTGTAACGTAGGTGCGCACAGCATTGGAGTAGGCCACTGCAAAAATATTCAAGACCGTCTGCAATCCAACAGTCCGACTGCGCCAAACAGCCTCGTGTTCCGCACTCAGCTCATGGCGGCTTGCGCAGTGAATGTCTTCGACATCGCCGTTGTAAACAACGACGCCACTCAGTTCACCTTCGACAACCAGTACTTTCAAGATATTCAAAACGGGCGCGGTCTCTTCACCGTAGATCACCTGCTCAGCACAGATCCACGCACCGCGCCCATCGTTAACACCTACGCCTCCAACGAAGGTGCCTTCTTTGCGTCGTTTGCGTCGGCTTATGTGAAACTTACGTCGCGAGCAGTGACAGGGAATCGAGGCAGCGTCAGAAGCACATGCCAGCTTTAGGCGCTCTCCAAGCTTCAAGCGTCGTCTTTTAGTTTGGATGTTATATTATTGTTTCTTACGCTTCAAATGTAATCTTTGAAGAATCGATTATGCGCGATCTGGAAAAGTCGTCTTAGATTAGATAAGTATTCCCAAATCTCCTTTCAAAGTCTTACAGCATGGAGCTTCAACTCATCGACGAGGGAAATTCTTGACGTGCTTGTGGCTGTGCCGAAACACGGAGGAAGCTTAAGCTGTGCGTGTGGGTCGAGTTCCGCTGCATTGATAACATATTCGTGGGAAACTTATTAAATAGTCTAGCCATTTGTAGAAATGTTGTGATTCTGAAGTGGGATTCATCTCTTGAGAATGATGATTGCGCTTGTATTTTTCGGGCAATTATTCCCGTCTGCTATCCTGAGGCAACTGCTTTTAGATGCGACAGGAATATGGCAGTGCTCCCATCATTTTACTGAGTCTTTTGAAATTCCGATATGTATGTTTGCGTGCACACTCATCTGAGATAATATGAACTGAGTGAGCAATTGACTTTAACCTCTGAATCTTCAGAAATACTGATCTCAAGTAGTTGTTCACCCTATTATACTACACGCAAAACAACTTGCACTTTCACTGCAACTCTGAATCTCTGTCGCTGCCTGAATCGCGTTACTCTCCTGTTTGATTGTATGATTGCACCGAACATACCAAAGGGAAATCATGGTATTCGGCTGCCTTCTCTGTTTCATCCCCTGGATATGCACTGTAGAATTCATTCTTTGGAGCAAATTGTTCAAACGGATGAGACTGTGACGTAAGTGCCTTTTCTATTATTGTGCTCCTGTCCAGTCTTGGGTCCTCTTCAATGCCATCTCGAACTCCAGGAGACTTGGGTGCTGTGCTAGGTTGTGGGTTGTGCCACAGGTGACCCGAGGAAGCTGTGTGTGGTGATAAGGCTGTCAATTGTTTTCGGTTGGAAGTTTCTGTTAAGAAAAATGCACTGAACTTAGCTTTTCTTTTCGGTTAGGGAATTAGCAAAAACTTCCCCAGGAGTTTTGATACGGGCAGTTGTTTTGCGTTCTGAGTGTACTGAAAACTTATATTCATGAGGGCTCCTAACAAGTACTTGAAATTTTGAGGGAAAGAGGCAGTGGCGTTTTATTGTGATATTTTGTAGTTGTGTGCGATGCAAGGAATGGCAATGCTATCTCAAGCACACAAGTGCTTCACGTCTTCGTTCTTCCATTCTTCGTGCACTCGCTTATGCTACCCTCGCGCGGGCTCGAAGAATCCGCTAAATGGGAGAGAGGTCAGCTTTACGATACCTCATCGTTTCGGGCCGACTTCGAGTTGGAGACGAATATGTGGTTGTTCTCTCGCCCCAGGTATTCATTCATTCCCTTGGAGCTAAGAGGTTGAAATATGTAGTTTAGAAGTGTCAACCCAATTGGCGATCAATCATAGAGCGGGGTCCGAAATGCAGTGCTCACAGAACGGTACCTCTCCTACTCAATTTGATTTTCAGGGCGCAGTCTTGCACGTGAACCACTACGTAATAGCATAGAAATTATAAGTTGTGATGGGAATGCCAATAGCTTGAGGATGTTCACAAATGTCGAAGATAGGGGGTTTAGGGTTTAAGCTCTTATCGACCATTAGCAGCATCACAATTCAGGACGGATATGGCAAAGTGCATTTAGATGCCATGTTCGTGTGATTGAAAGGTCCGCATCTAGGGGAGGAAGTGTGGTTTGATCGTTTGAAGCGCTCTAAACCCGCAGAGCCGTAGTAGATTTCTGTTATTAGGTGTCGAAGGAGAAGAAATTCTAGGGCTGTCTGAAAGTCGACCACCTGTTCCAATACCTTAGCTTTTGTTTCTGCTTTCAAGTTCGTTGCGCTTCTTCAGCTCATCAAACTTGGCATACTGTAGCGCCTCTCCCGTGATAGGAATTAAATCTCGAACTCCTTTGGTATGAATGTCTTTGATTGTGAGTGTACTCTTCCCAGAGATTTTACTTGTTTCGTATTGCGTCTTTACATTCAAGCCATTGAGACTATCCTTGCGTGGAGTCTTGTGTTTAGTGGACATAATCCAAGCAAATCCCACCGTTGTTGCTCCTGAATATCAATCACTATTAACTCTTATGTGCAACTCTCGGATACATTTGAAATGTAGTGTATAGAAACGTGACATTTTTTTTGTTACGCAATGGCTGATTTAGCTCTAGAAGGACAGAAGAATTGGGAAGATGTTGCTCAGAAAGATCAGCAACAAAAACTTCTTCAAGTAGTATTAGTGTCGCCCCAGGTATTTTCACATCCTGTTGTCATGTTCGCTAAGTATAGAATCCATTCATATGTTTTTTATTATGAGAAATTACTGTCCATACTTGAAGATGTTCTTGATGCTGGATGCTGTGTAAGCCGCAGATTCCAGGGAATAGTGGTAGTATTGCAAGAACATGTGCAGCTACTGGTGTTGGGTTGCACCTCGTCGAGGTAATCTTACTTGCCGTGGCAAGACATGCATCATGTTTATGAAGTAGAGGAGTTGTTCACTTCTTTATCCATTAAATTTTAAACAAGTATTTTCTTCTGGCCCCTTAAAAGCAGCGGAGGTGACTCATTGTGCTTTTTTGTTTTGTCAGCCACTGGGATACAAAATCGATGGTTCCAAGTTGAAGAGTACTGGATTAGAGTATTGGCCGTATCCTCTTGATTATTTCTATACTTTTTGCGTCAGTGGAGATACTCAGTAATAACCACATTACTGTATTCAATTCCAAACTTACTATAACCCAAGTTCAGCTCATTTTTTATACTTTGTTATGCATTTTTTATACTTTGTTATACATTTTTTCGATATTGACAAGGAGGATACGCATCTTCTAGTGTGCAAACTGGTTAATCCTGCTCAAGATTGGCGTCCAGATATGTTGTAGTGAAGGTGCATAAGTCTTGGAATGATTTCTTCACCTATTTTCAAGAACAGGTAGGTTTCTTGCTCATATGTTGACCTTTAGAAAACCATCATCGGCATGTCCTCAGAGTCTCAGAAGCATCTTCTTGTCTTGTGTCATGAGCGTCATGTAGCAATACGAGATTCTATTTACTCGGATTTTCATCAGTCGTAAGGTTTTAGGTAAGAAATCGAGTAGAAAGCAATCTGAGTTGAGCAGATTGGGATTCTGTTCGTCATTTCGTCCGTACTTTCAGTTTGCATCTGCAATGCACACGCTGATCCTTATCGTGTGTGACGGTGTCGTTAATGACAGAACGGCGAGAAAAGACTTCTCGCATACACCAAGAATGGTCAATATGTTCACACAGTAATCACCGCCAACTCTTCCCCTTAACTTCTTGCCTAATTCTAGACGTCCTTAACATACTGTAAACATCTTATTAATGAATTTCTTCTTTGTTCTTCTCATTTTCATCATTTTCATCAGACTGTCTAGACTGCCAGCTTCGAATATAGCCCTATATATTGATGCATGGCAGAATCACTTCGCATGTTGAGATGCATTTTGGACTGAGACAGGATGTACAATACAAAGCTGGAGACTGGCTTCTATTTGGGTCAGAAGTAGACGGCCTGCCTGCTGCAGCTCTGGAACAAAGCACAACGGGTCAGTACGCCGGAGGCACAATACGCCTCCCCATGAGTGAGGAATATGTACGTTCACTAAACCTTTCCATTTCTGCTGGAATCGGAGTATATGAAGCTCTCCGCCAACTCGATTCTCACACTGGTTACAGTAGCGTGCATGCCTCTCACAACGATCCTGTTTTCACCGAGAACAACGACGGTTATCCTTGAGCTGATTGTAGAGTAGAAAAAACTTGTGGGTTCACTGGGTTATTTTGGGGACTCCTTAAAACATCAATATCAAATTACATTTTTGCTGTACTTACTCTTGTCATCGAAGATCCTTCATTTCCTTGATACTGTTTTGTCCTGGTTTTTATTTTCAAAGTTTGCATAGATGTACAACTCTCAAGCTTCAAGCTTCATGTTCCTTTGAAGCTCCATTCACAATGTTTTTGTGCACCTTGCATGGATGGTAAGCAACTCCTGTTTCTATCCTCGAGGATGCATCGGAGGCTTTCACAGAACTTAGTGGGACTTGCATCATTTGAGAATAACATTTTACAAATCTTGTGAAAAGTTCAGTTTTTGGTTCTATAACGTTGCTGAAATTCCAATTGTATTTCTAAAGATGTTAGAATGTGACAATTTGTCACATACTAATGATCGTCTTTTAGGAATTTATGGCATGGCCAAACTTTTGAAAAGTAAGGAAATTGAAGATCGAAAAAATAACAAGATTTGTACATGCTAATAACCAAACAATGTTTTATAACTATTCTTTGTAAGTAAAATTGTAGATTATTGCTTATGTATTCATAGTTTCACATCAATGTACATATATATATATATATATATATTAGTTTTTTTTAAGATTTAACAAAGTAAAGTAGTAAAAATATAATAACACATTAGGTTTTGCAAAATTTTAAAGTATTATGTTTTTATACATGAATATTTTTTAATTTGTGGAAGAAAAGATAATTAATATTTTAATTGATTTGGTGCTCTAAGAAATAATTTTTTAATAAATTTGGTATTTTATGAGCAAATATAAATCATAAGAAAATTAATGTGTTTGAAGAATATTACATAGAAAATTGTTGATGTTATGTCTCCAGTTGATATTGCTACATCTTGTGTAAATTAGATAGAGATATATCTATATATATATATATATATATTAAAACATTGATTATCTATAGAATTTGATTTAAAAAAAAATATTAAAAACATATAAAGAATTTTAAATTAGAAGAAAAAAACTAAAATTTGTAAAGTAGATGGCAAGTTGTGGTAATAGCAACAAAAATTATGGTGGCATTAACAATACACACTCTCTCTCTCTCTCTCTCTCTCTCTCTCTCTCTCTTTCTATATATATATATATATATCTATATATATATATATCCACATGTATATAATAATCTTAATATTTATGTTATAGAGAATAAAAAGGTAAGATTATCAACAAATAATCCAAATATTAAAAATAAAAATAAAAACTTTGTCATATGGAATGTAGCAATATCAATTGATGATGTAGTGTTAACAATTCTCTTTATATAATTATTTATTAAACAAATAAATATTGTATAATGTACATATGTATTGTGGGTGAATTTTTAAGTGAAAAAAATTATATTACAATGTTTTTTTAATAAATCTTTAAAGTTATATATATATATCAATCAATGATTTAGTTTACAATTAATTAAAGTGAGGATAGTAATCATTGCATATTGTGCTAGAAATTAAAGGCTAGATAAATAAAAACATATTTATTATATATTATTGTTGTGTATTCTTAAAAATTTCCATCTTAGTATCAATAAAAGATAAATATAGATTAAAAGTTATTTCTAAAGTAGTTCAAATCCCAACTTAAGTGATATATTGCAATCTTAGGTGCAATATAGTATTATTTGGTGGCCTAAGATTATTTTGGGCCAATCTGATGATAAGTTTAAATCCATAAGTTAAAAGATTTTTAAATGCACAAATATTATATTTTTTGACAATATTAGTAGACTTATCTACTATTTCATATATTTACACATATAATATATCTTTAAGAAATCAATACTTTTAAAATATTATATTGATTGGATCTACTAATATTATTATAAAGAAAATAGTGTTTTAAATTATTTAAATTATTTAATTTTTTATTATATTTTTTACCATAAATATTTCAAAATATTTTTCTTTAAAAAATATAATTACTAAAAATAATTTTAATCTATATGTGATAATAATATAAAATTTTTAGTCTCAAATGTTAGTCTTGTTTTTAAAATATATAAAATAAAATTCAATTTAAAAATTGTTTACAAAAAACTTCTTTTTATAAGTAAATTTTAGTTTTATTATTCTTATAATTTCAAGAGATTTTATTTTTATTTTTATAAGAGACGACTATCTCATACATTCACAAAAAAATTAAAATAAGTATAACAGATGATAAAACATTTGTCATACAAAGTATATATTATACTATACATAAAGAAGACTTGAAACCAAGAAGTCTATTTTTTTAAAAACCATGGTTCAAAAGTCTTAATAAGGTTTCATGTTTGGTAAAGAAAAAGCCTCTTTTTAGAAGCCTAGGCCTTTGCATGTAGTATAAAGTGGCCATGGAATGAATTAAATTATTTTCTTACTACAACTCTAAGTATTTCAGCTCATTCTTTTATTCTAGCAATCATAAAAAATATGAGAATTTTGATTTTATTTCTATTTCTATTTTTTCTTCTTGATGGTTATTTTCAACATATCTTTACAAGATTTTACAACTTTTTCTAAAACTTGCCACTTGATTCAATAGAAAATTTTAAAAACAACACTATTCATGCTATGTAAGAGAAAAATACATCCCACCTCATCTTTTCTTCTAAGCTTTTGAGAATAATTCTTCTTAGTAAACTACTAATATAATTTCTTAATTTCAAACCAATCTAAATATTTCAAAGTTGTAACATCTCACCTTGTCTCCTAAATACAAAGACCTTCTAGGTTCAACATGCATAAACATACTACTTGAATGAATATCTTATGAATTAATTATGATTATTATTATCATAATTAAATATAATCATAATCATAATTAATTATCATTACCATTTGATAAATGACATTTCTCCTTCCGACACGTTCTATTTTTACTCAAAAAGAGGGTTTCTACATACTTCGTCAGTTTGACTACTATTAATAGGATGGGCTCAAGGTGAACATTATTTATTCATAGTGAAATAATTTGTACCCTTCGTAAGAGCAATGGAGTGAAACTCTCACGGTACATTTTTACTGTACACTAGATGGCGAGATCGAAGCCGGAAGGGCCAGTAACTACGAAATGTGCCATTCCCAGTAATGACTGCTAACACGTAGAAGGGGGTAGATACTAGACTTTCGTGTAGTTGTTTGACTGATTGATGCTATCCATCCGAAGATAACCGAAATTTGTCCTGTAATTCAGTTCCAACGGACTCTACCAACTGCATTTGGGGTGAGCTGTGGCCTCTCAAACTTCACTGCCGTTTAGAAACTGCTTGATTCAAGCTTGGAGGACGTTGTCATCTAGTGCTCATAAGTTTGATAAAGTTGACCCAGATTCTGAATCCTCGGAATTTTACAAGGTAATCAACTACTTGGATTGCGGAAATCATGTCACTGCACTTTGTTTGATGAGGTTTTAGGTTTTGGAGAGTGTGAAAACGTCATTGGAGATAACATGGGTAATCATAGAGATGCTCCATGTGCTCTAACGACGATAGTAACAGTGGCATGCTTACAAGAAACTCTACATTATATGCATTTCGTTCCACATGAAACTCTTCACTGAGAGCACGTGGATATTCGAACAGTCAACATGCCCACGACTCATTTTGATGAAACTGGAGCTTGAGTCAGTACTTGAAGATAGAACTTTGTTAACTTTGTAATTGAAGCACATATGCAACTGAAGCCGCTGCAGATTGAACTCTTTAGCAGGCGGTACATAACGAAAATTACATACGATCGTACAAAGCACGCAGTCGATTATTCAATCCACCATCTTAACGTTGTATACCTGTATTTTGTGGCATTGCCATACCCTGCACAGCTCTACAGTAATAGAGATATCATGACTAAAGAGAGAACTGATGCTAGTGGTGCCGCGCCAGATTTCCAACGGGGAGTGTGAAGTAGGAGTTTTCGCGAGTCAGGATACCAGCAAGAGCTATGTACCACGCAATGATGGCAGTGAAGATGCCCATGAAACCACCAGCCTGGAAGTTTCAATCCACCAAATCAAACAGTCAGTCATGAGATAGCAGTCAACATTCAACGTTAAATTTTGACCATCGGAATTCCTGCATGAAACTAAGCGTTAAATTCAGTTAAAACCATCAACATTATTTCATACGCTTTTGAATCCCATGGAGTGTCTGAAGTCAGCGATGGTGAGCAGCATGAAAGTGATAGTCAGAAACGCGAACAAGGTGCTGAGCGCAATGTTGAACCTCAGGGTTTTCAACTACATGATGAAGGTGAAGATGGCCCACGCGAGCAGGAAGATCGCAATGGCAGGGAGCACGTCCTGCTCATATCCGCCCACCTAAGCTTCCTTCACTCCAAAGCCAGGGATCTGAATCACAGCCCAAGCGAAGCTAGAGCGCACTGTAAGAAGAGAAGGCCGTAGCTCCGAAGGTGTTTCCAGTCTTGAACTCCCACATTCCTGCTAGCAACTGAGCGGTACCCCTGCAGAAGACTGCCAGTCCAACCACAACGTTCGGGGGCGTCTTCACGGAGATTCCGAAGTGGCCGCGTTGTAGCACGACAATACGAATGTCATAAGCGCAAACCCCCACAGTCTCAATGGCGCAGGGTTGGCAATGCGCACCACATGCGGCGCGGGAGCGGCCTTAATAGCCTCCTCTAAGTGGTGGCCGTGGTAGCCATTATGCCCATTCTCCGTCGCCATCGCTTAACCTCACACCGAGCAGTAATCAGTGAGCAGGATCGTTCACTGTATACACCACTAATTTATCGTCATGCTTTGCTGTTTTTTTAACGTGTTTCCCACTGCAGCAATAAGTTACCGGCGAAATGACCCCTCCACTTCGAAAATATTCTGCATGTTATTATTCGTTGCTAGTTGTCAGTCTACAGCTCACAGATCCAAAATTCCGAAACCATACTCTCCAACCCTCGACTTGCATGCATAACACACAACCTTCATGAGGACGCATTAATTCAACCGATAGACGCACTAGGGCAATCCTTTTACAGGAGCTCCAAGGCGATCGTCACACAACACATCCAATTTTCCACCCTGTCCTGTGATCATGACCAAAACAATGAACCACCAGTGACAAAAACTCTTATCTGACTCCGCTGGATATATAGACACCCATCGCCCCAGGCTTACCTTCCGATCAAGTTCTCAATCCACTACAGAGGGATCCAACTGTGGACGGAGCTGAGCTCGGTGCACTGGCGAGTGTACAAGCTGCTGGCAATCGCAGGAACTCCACCCGATCTTTATACGACACGGCAGCGGGAATGAGGACCCACTTGGAAGCGAGTGGGGAGATTCGATCATTATGGGGGAACTGTAGAGATCTATACGGCGACACAGGTATTGAACTGGGATTTCGGAGGGGACTGGTCATTTCTATTGTTCTCACTCCACGGATCTTCGAGTTGGTGCTTAATGAGTGTGGTGGTGGGGACCTGGAAGTGCAGTTAGCCAGTGCCAAACTTGTGAACTCAGAAACTTGCACTCATCGTTCGATACAGAACAAGAATAAGTAACACAGCTAATACATGCTTAGATCAACTACTTGTGAACATCAGAAGGTGCTGTAAAAGTACATTTGTGATCATAGGTTCCCATAGATGAGAACATGATGAGAACGTAGGAGTGTTTATCCAATACCCTCCCTCCCTCCATGTGTTCTAGACAACAACTTATCACTGACTAAACGAGGAAGGAAAAAATGTGCTCTTAGTTGAAGAAGAAATTTTCGGCGTCCTGTAGGGTCATGAACCCTTTGTATTTTGTGCCTTGGAAGTGCTTCACGAAAGCTTCACATTCATTCCAGGTGGAGTATATTCCTGGTCGCCGTCCTTCTTTGACCACGTAGAATTTGTAATTTTCTGATCGTGGAATGCGCCAATGATGAGTAGAGGATCCAGCCGATGGCGGTATCATCTGTTTTGGGGTTCTGGATAGAGCGATGTTGAGATAGTAATGTGTCCACGAGTGCAATCAGTCGATCGATCAGAGTCTTGATAAATGCAAGAAGTGCTCGGACAAGAGTGAGCAGGGAATCCATTACGGATTGATTATCTCCAGCAGCATCAGGCATGGTGGAGAATAGAGGACCAAAAAAGTATCTAGGGGAATGCTCGGGATTGTGAAACTACACTTTCGCTGCTTACGATATTGTGCTCATTTCTGAACTTTTCGAACAGAGAGCGTCCCAGCGGCTTCGTGAAAATGTCCGCCAATTGCTCAAGGATGGGTATGTATTCGAGTTCTAGTTCTCCCTCTTCAATTCTCTCTCGCGTGAAGTGGTAATGGGCAACCACGTGACGTGTGCGAGGATTTGCTTCGGGATTGATTGCCATCCGAATGCTACCAATGTTATCACAAAAAATACGGATTGAAAATTCAATTTTAAAATGTAAATCCTGAAATAGCATTCGAAGCAATGATGCTGTTTTGGAGGCATCTGTGAGGGCTCGGTACTCTGCTTCGGAGGATGACAGAGCTACCGTACGCTGCTTCTTCGAATACCACGTGATCGGAGACTTTCCTAATCTGAAAATGAAACCTGTGGTTGACCTGGCATCTTGTGTGTTTCCTGCCCAGTCGGGGTCGACGTAGCCTTGTAGTATGTTACTCTTTTAGTTTGTGAAGAGGAGTCTAAAGTCTTTGGTGCCTTTGATGTATCTAAGAATCCGCTTTGCTGCTAGATGTGGCTGTTGTGGTGTCTGCATAAATCTGCTACATACCCTTGTCGAATACTTGATGTCAAGGCGAGTGATTGTAAGATGCAGTAGGGATCCTATCATCCTTCGATAGACGGTTGGGTTTCACTCTTCTTCGCCCATGTTCACTGCCAGTTTGCAGCGTTCGTCCATGAGAGTAGCCGCTGATTTGCATTGGTCCATACCATATGTTTCGAGAATTCGCTTAGCATAGCTTCTTTGAGTGAGGAAAATCCCATTGTGAACTTGAGTACACTTTTCCTTCAAATAGATCATGATATCTCCTTCAGAGAGGTCAGTCATGGGAAACTAATAGTTTAATTTCGCTTCAAGATCTTTTATTGCGGAGCATGAGTTGCTTACCATTAGCAGATCGTTGACATAAAGAGCTACCAGAATGATGTTTTTGTGGTCGAATCTGCTGTAATGGTTATGATCGCCCATGCCAGGTTTGAACCTGATATTTTTGAGAATCTTGTCGATTTCTTCGTACCAAGACCTGGGGGCTTGTCGTAGTCCGTAGAGTGCTTTTCTGAGCCTGTAAACTAAATTTTCTCTTCCTGGAATCTGAAATCCTTCTGGCTGCGTAACGTAGACCTCCTCCTTGTATGGACCATGGAAGAATGCGGTAATGATGTCCATATGTGAGATAGTCCAGCTGTTTTGGGATGCTATGGCGAGCATTGATTTAATGGTTTCCCATGCAATTACGAGATTGACCTGGTTTCGACGCTGGGATGTCGTGGAGAGAGTATGTTGTCTTCTGTTGGTAAGTTCAGAGGTGATTCGGTTAGAGTGGCTGGAGGCTTCTTAGGTGAGTTGTTGTTCAGTTCCTGTCCAGCTAGAGTTGCCGAAGATCTTGGTGATGTTGTCGAAGTGTGCGATACTTGATCTCTACATTGGTCTACATGATCCGACAGAGGCGGCGATTGCGAGAATCTTGAAAAAGGGTCCTGGTTCGCGGCTGCTGGCTGTCAAAGGAGATGCTCTTGTGCTGAATTTTCTGTTGGAGATACGGATCCAATACTTGGCGTGTGGATGGGTCCAGCGGGTGAAGTCGATAAACTCGGATCTAATGAGTTAGAATTGAACTGGAATTCTCCGTCGTCGATATCAGTTGTTGGAGGGTAAGGATCAAAATTTAAGTTGGATTCTGAAGGTTCGGTATGGTGAAATCTAGATTAATCGAAGATGTCATCCGTCGACACGATAATTTTGTTTGTAGATGGTATGTAGATCCGGTAGGCTTTAGAGCAGTCATCGTAGCCTACTAGACAGCCAGCAATTGATCGAGGGTCTAGTTTATGCCTTGCGTGAGCGCCATTGTGTACGTCGGGGTTCGATTTTGGATGCAGAGAGCCGCCTTGGCTACCTCTGGCCATATTTGGGCTAGAAGATGTCCCGACACTAGCATTGTTCTGACCCTGCCCAGGATGGTCTGATCTCAATGCTAGTGTCAGAACAATGCTATGAGATTGCAGATATTCTGAAAAGGCTGCGGAGAGGAACTCCCCGCCCCTATCTGTCCGCAGCCACTTGATGTACTGGCATGTTTGCTTCTCTGCCATGTTTTTGAATTAACTAAACTTCTGAAGAGCCTGGTTCTTTTGCTTCAAAAAATATATCCATATTTTTCTACTGCAACCGTCAACTAAGAGTAAGAAATATCTGTTTCCCGATATCAAAAGAACTGGCAGAGGGCCGCAAATATCAGCATGAATCAAATCCAAGTTCTGAGTGCTTCTTGTGTGAGATTTTCTAGGAATGGATTCTCTTGTTTCCAGGCTCTCCTACCTATGGCACTGCTGCCTTGGTCACATAGGTTTTCAAACCTTGACCAATATGGCATCAGAAGGTAGCCGTTACGGGATACCAAAGTTTATAGTAAACCTGTAGTACGTCAAAACTGCGCCATGGAAAATCAACTTTGGGGGATGAGTAGTAGTGAGAACTGAGCACGAATCCTTTCCAAATACAATAACACTATCAATGTTTCTAACGAATTGTCCAACCGACATGAGATTGTGTTTGAGACTGGAGATATAATCTGGGGTCGACACAGCCAATTGGTTTTGACTAAGATCTATTGTTTCAAGAGAATTGTCACTGGACTATTTTGGAGACACAACATCCCACAAATCTTCCCTCTCATGAACACTCTGAATGGTGTTGCACCATGCCTTGAAGTTCTCAGGGCCTGCCAACATCTTATTTGTTGGTATCACTGAATCCATATCTCTACAGTAGATGGCTAATATTTTAATTTACAAAAAGGCACTGTCTATCGCTACTACCCGCCCAACAGTCGCTCAGATACCATGTGAACTCAGAAACTGGCACTCATCATTCGATGCAGAACGAGAATAAGGAACACAGCTAATACAAGCTTAGATCAACTATTTGTGAATAGCACAAGGTGGTGTATAAGAACATTTTGTGTTTTCAGGTTCCCATAGATGAGAACATGATTAGAACGTAGGAGTGTTTATCCAATAGAACTTGCAGTTCCCAAAGTGTGTTGAGGCTGGACGGGGTGGATACAGTGCCAGAGCTCCCGATGTCTAGTGTATATATGTGCACCCTGATTGTTATCTTAACAATATAGCTACAGATATTGCATCTCGTCTTTAATATTGTGTGCGATATGTACTTTGTACACCAAATATAAGTTAATCCACCTCAACCAAGATGAACTACACCATCATGTTTAGGATGTCAACCTTAATTTTATTGAACTAATATTGTGTGCAATATATACTTTGTACACCAAATATAAATAAATCCACCTCAACCAAGATGAACTACACCATCATATTTAGGATGTCAAACTTCATTTTAATAGAATGTAAGAATGCTTTTTATATATGTCATAAAAATATTACACAGATTAATAAATAAATAAAAATCATACAATGTGTATTTCAATTAAGGAATCAATTTTACAATAAACAAATAAACAAGTAAAGAATAACACATTATGCTTCTTGTATTAAAATATATCAAACACAAGTATACTTAATAATAAGTACTACTCACAAAAAAATTCATTCTTTATTATCTTATATTATAATAATGTGGTTGGACACTATATTTTAAAGCTGTGTATTTGTATTTGTTTATATATCATATCACAATGTTAATATGATATGTTTTGTTGCTCCATATTACATATTATTTGTTCTATTAAAGATTGTTATACAAATATTGACTAAATTACTATTATAATAACTATATGACAAAGAAGTTTACAACATGCAATATATTCTTATTTTATAACAATCTATGAGAACTAACCACATTTCTCCTCAAATATACCTTAATTGTAAAATTCAGAAATGTCTATTTAACATAACAATGCAAATGTTTAAGCTTCACTTGTATTGATGCATATTCTGCATTAAAATTAACATTTTGTGGATTGGTTGCTTGAGGATTGATGCTTAAAATTATATAGATGCTTGTATGCCACAATAAAAATAGAAGAGATAGAGAGATTTTTGCTTGCATGTTTTTTTATTTTATCTTTCAAATAATAGTTTCAATTTGTCTAAATAATTTTGTTTAAAAATATCAGACTATTAAATAAAGTATTATAAAATCCACATTCTCATGGATGATTTGTTCTATATAGATAAACACAATTAAGGCATTCAATGTATAGAATTGTTTTTAGCAATAATAATTTAATTTTATTGTATGTGGATTGTAAGCTAAAATAATATACATGCTATTATTTATTTCCTAAATGTATAAATAAAAATCTCTCAATTTATAAAATTTTATTTATTACCTTATTTAAAAATAAACATAATTATATATAATGAATACTAAATATTTAAATACTCACTTAAGATGTTCAAGTACCATATTCACCAAATATAGATAAGGCCATTGCAAATTAAAGACGTATCAAATTTTTCTATATATTAAGTTTATAATTATTTTAAAAAAATAAAATAAAGTAAAAAGTGATATATTTAATCTAAAAAAATTAGAAATATTTTCTAAAACTATAAATAACTGTTAAAATAAAAATAAAAAATATTACCTTGTATAAGATATTACCTTAGGTAAGTTGCTAGTAGTTAAAGGTTTGACTCTTGATATATGGTAAGGACATCCAATGGATATAGGACGAAGTCATGAACCAAGAGTCAAAGTCAAAAGGATAAAGTATTAACAAAGGAATATCCCAAGACTAAGTATGAGTCATTAGTGTGTGTCATAGGATACCCTCGTAGTTCGTGAAATACCAAAGGATCCTAAGAGCATGTGTGTAAGACGTAAGAGTAATTAGTATTGGACATAGGATACTCTTGGGACTCGTGAGATGCCAAAAGGATCCTAGGACCATGTGTATAAAAGTCAAAAGGTGGACATTGTCTTTTAAGACATCAACTACCACCTATAAGTAATAGATGTTGGAAGTGAGAGATATCTTACTCCATACTCTCTTTGTGTGCAACCTTCTTGATGCTAAGTGTTGTGTCTTCTAAGTACTTGTTTTCTTAATAGGTTATGGGCCCACTCACCTTTATTTATGAATTTTGAAGTGCTTTGAAGTCTTTCTTGTTATAAAGAGTAGATCTTATGGTTATTGCTGAAGTTTGAGTTTGTTATCTTTTAATCCTTCTTATGTATCTAGTTGTTGATGTAATTTTGCTCTTATTTATTGTTAAGTGCACTCATAGTCTTTGTTGATGTTAGACTCCATATAATGATGTTTTAAAACTCTAGTGTTATATTTCTTTTCTGAAATTTATCATTGATGTTCTAACTTTGTGATTTCATGTACTTAACTTCTTAAGAGATTGTTCTATTTTCACAAGAAGTATTTTTTGTGAGATTAGAAGTATTTTGTGAGAAAAGAGAGGTGATTGAAGAGTGACAAAGCTTATATAAGAGATTCAGATAGAATGTAAGACTTATGAGAAGTCTTATATGTGAAGTTGAGAGTGATACAAGAGTGAAATCACTTGTTTACTTATAAAGAGGGCATTCTAGGTTTTTAAGGCAACAACACCTTCTTGTTGATTTTGAGAGTTCTATATCTTCTTTTCTTGATTTTCTTTCACACATCCCTTCCTTATACATTCTTCAAGTGAGGGTGAGAGCTTGAGAGTGATTGAGAAGTTTAGAAGTGACAACTTTTACCATTGGAAGAAGAAAATAGAGCTTTTGTTGGCTTCATTGGACCTTTGGGACATTGTTGATGAAAGTGAAGACCCTCCAAGTGACAATGCTGATATCAAAGTGAAGAAGGAGTACAAATGTCATGAAAGAAAGGCTTTTGGGATAATTTCAACAAACCTTGATTATGCCAACTTTTCACATGTTATAGCTTGCAATGGACCAGCGGAAGCATGAAAGATTCTTTGGAACATCTATGAGAGTAGAAACCTTGCCAACATCCTTTGGACAAGAAGGAAGTTCTTGACAGTAAAGATGGAAGAAGGAGATGACCTCATGGCTCATGTTAACAAGGTAAAAGTACTTGCTAATCAACTAGCAGTTGTTGACAAATCAGTTGATGATAAGGACATTGTGTTGACATTGCTCATGAACCTTCCCGAATCCTACAACTACCTCATTGTGGCATTGGAGTCCATCAATATGAAGGAGCTTACCATTAACTATGTCACATCAAGACTTGTCCATGAAGTGACCAAGAGGAAAAAAAAGGAGCTTGTAAGTAATGATTCGGCTCTATTTTCAAGACAAGGCAAAGATAGATATTCTCACCAAAATGATAATTCAAAAAGCAATATGAGGAATTGCTATATTTGTGGGAAACCAGATCATTTTGCTAGAAATTGCTACAAGACCAAGAAAAGAGATACGGAGAATGCAAACAATGCTAGTGATAGTTTTGGTGGAGATGAATATGGTTTTATGGCAAAAGAATGAGCCTCCATGGATGCCATGTCAAAGTAGATTATAGATTCATGTGCTACTAAGCACATGACACCATACAAGTGTTCATTTGATACTTATGAAGAAATCTCAGCAACAAAAGTGTAGTTGGGAGACAATGGCATGGTACAAGCCATTGGAATTGACTCCATTGTAGTAGAGATTGTTGTGAAGGACCAAATGAAGAGGATCAGATTGAAAGAAGTCTTA